ACACACACACACACACACACACGTACACACACACACACACACACACACACACACACACGTACACACACACAGACGTTCACGCACACGTACACACACGTACAAGCACATGTACAAACACGTACACGCACACGTACACACACGTACACTACATGCACACATACACACACGTACGCACACGTACACGTGTGCGTGTACGTGTGTGTACGTGTGCGTGTACGTGTGTACATGCACACGTACACACACATACACAAACACGTACACACACACATGTACACGTACACGCACACGTACACGCACACGTACACACACGTACACGTACACGTACACACACGTACACGCACACGCACACGCACACACACGTACACGCACACTCACACACAAACGCGCAAACACATGTACACACCCACACGCACGCACGCACACGTACACACCCACACGCACGCACAAACGCGCACGCACACATGCACACACGCACACGCACGAATGGACGCAAAACCGAACACATACATGTATACGCTTCAAGAGCGTATATAAAGTGAATACATAATTTAAATTATATATATATTGATATATATATATATATATATACTATATATATATATTATATATATGTATATTATAATTATTATATATATATATAAACAGTGTAGTTAAACAGTGTAATCAAAAATGGAAATATAAGCTTGTTTACTGCAAATATTTCTTTCTGTAAGTAAGATTTCGCAGTCACCATGGAGTGCTGAACATGACCGTCATCGTCCCTGGTTGATGCTTAAGTCAGAGATGGTATGTTGGCAATCAAACACGTGCGCGCGCACGCACGCACGCACGCACATATATGTACCTCGGGTACATATCTGTAGACTGTATAGTACCTGATACGACAACAACCCCTTGAGCACAAATATGCTGGTCTTAAAAGTGTCGACTTATGCAAGTTTTACTGTACTTTCTATTTCATGCAAACAAGTGACAGATCCAGGGGGCAGGAGACACCCACCCCCCACATTTTTGAACAAACACGTACATAGAAGCAAATATCATGTACAATTGTACATGATCTTTGATAGAAGCGAGTGGCCTTGTCGGTCTGTGCCCCCTTTTTTTATCAAAACTGGACTCGGACTCGGACTCGGACTCGGGTGGTGTGGACTCGGACTCGAACTCGGGTGGCGCGGACTCGGACTCGGACTCGGACTCGGGGGTGCGGACTCGACTACAACACTGATGTGATAGTGATAACTAGAGCACGTATATCTGCGTAGATGATACATATATGCTACATATGCTCTGGTATAACATTACCTATCGATACGACCATAAGAACGGCCGTAGATATATACACAGTGTTGTTTGCATCTAAAGAACGACGGTCGGTAGTACACACACGATAGATACCATATATTATCATCCGTGCGAGTACTGCATTGCCCGGTTGTGTAAAACGTCACGCGTTTTGCCACTTGATGACGTTTATGTGTGGATGTGACGTAGTTCACCAGCATGGTCGGAAAGTGAGCGATGGAAAAAGACACCGAAGCCATTTTACGACGAACATTGAGTGATATAGGCTCCGAATTAAAACAGAATGAAGGTTCACCGATAGTTCTTAACACAGTCTACCTCACGGATGCAGAGGTTGAAGGAGAATGTATCGACTGGCTGCTGCAATACCTTCGGCAAAAGTAAGGACCATATGATCGCATCCCCTCTGTCAACATTGAACACACTGTCACTTATCTGTAAACTGTACTGTACTTTTCTACCTGTTTTCAACTTGCTTATCTGTTCCGTGTGGGTATCATTTGACGAAGCAACGTGATTACAGATGCTTGTGCATCTTGAGATTCTGTATTGCTGCTACATTTCCTAAGCGTACGTACTTTGGTGTCAGTATAAGGTATTATGTGTATACAGTATAACTGGAACTGGGTAGGGGCGTTTTTTGGTGAGACAGACACTAGCCTGTGCCAAATAGTAATACTATTTATATACACCTGATGTTCATAGCGATTTACATGAACACTGAGGGATGAGAAAGTTTGCATGTATCATTAAATTTTGCACACATATAATGTATGTTGTAGCTCATACAATCATACATCACTGAGTCTGTAGTCTGTACTTGGTCTTGATCTTGATCTTGATATGATACACCGACACTAACCAATTCTGGCGTGGGGTCGGCAGGAGTCGAGAGAGGGCACAGGCACTTGGAGCGTTTCAATAAAATATAATGCTAAATAAATATGAAATCTATTTACTATATATACCAAAGTCTTAATGTTTCTCTAGGCCTACTCTCTTTCTCCTATTATTGCCGACAATTTCCTGTAAATGCCATCCAAATGCTCATCTGCAACACATGCTGGCTGCCGCACGCTAGCTGCTGCACACTGACACATCAATATATAGCAGGTAGGAAAGCGTGAGCACTGCCAAAATTTGCTCGACGCTCGCTTGATTTCACACGAATACAACACAAATATTCAACCATTCTACTCCATCTTTGTTTCTATTTGAAGGACAGTGTTCACTTCTTATACAAACATAGTGTCTGTGTTCGTAACCGAGCTGTGTCACGTGAAATCACACAAAGCCTGACGAAATTCTCGCGTTCGCTCCCGTTGCGCAGTTTATGTAAATGGCTCTCGGAATCAGGAAACACCTACCGGCGCTCTTCGTGACCTCATTTTTACGCCGCAACGCTGTAACGTTTTTGCAACGCTCTACTGGTGGCTTTGACGAGGCTCGTACGGGAGTTGGAAAGCAGCGTGGTAGTTTCCCAAAATGCAGTGCGCCGCCTATAGCCCTGTACTTGCAGCCATTTACATAAACTGCGCAACGGGAGCAAACGCGAGAATTTCGGCAGGCTTTGTGTGATTTCGCGTGACACAGCTCAGTTACGATCACAGACAGTACTGTATGTTTTTATAACAAGTGAACACTGTCCTTCAAATAGAAACAAAGATGGAGTAGAATGGTTGAATATTTGTGTTGTATTCGTGTGAAATCAAGCGAGCGTCGAGCGAATTTTTTGGCAGCACGCTTTCCTACCTGCTATATATTTATGTGTCAGTGTGCAGCAGCTAGTGTGCGGCAGCCAGCGTGTGTTGCAGATGAGCATTTGGACGGCATTTACAGGAAATTGTCGGCAATAATAGGTAAAAGAGAGTAGGCCTAGAGAAACATTAAAGCCGCAATATGCACATCCAAATGCTAATTTCTCCAGTACTAGACTAGCAAATACTTCGTGGCATGCATAATCACACTACCTTATGACAAAATAAACTCTAGTTCCTCCCATTTCACTGCGCGTTTGCTTAATACCCACAAGAAAGAGGTGCGAAATCTGGCAATCTGGCGCCAACGCCGAATTGTTTGCCAAACAATTTAGCCCTGAATCGGTTAGGTGACGTCACATGTTGTTACGGGTTGCACCCGCTGTACGGTTGCTTGGCAGAACAACGCGAACGTGTCAACAACATCGGAGAATTTAAACAACATTGGAGGTATTTTTAAATGCTTTTTATAAGACAACGCGCAGTGAAATGGGAGGAACTAGAGTTTATTTTGTCATAAGGTAGTATGGTTATGCATGACACGAAGTATTTGCTAGTCTAATACTGGCGAAATTAGCGTTTGGATGCGCATATTGCAGCTTTAAGACTTTGGTAGTAAATAGATTTCGTATTTATTTAGCATTATTACCTCCGCCCAACAGAGTTGGAGGAGGTTATGTGATCGGTCTCGTGTGTTCGTATGTTAGTGTGTTCGTGTGTTAGTGTGTTCGCGCGATCGATATTAGCGCGTCGAGTCAAGCCAGCCAGCCAGCCACAGCCGGCTCCAGCAGCAGTCAGCAGCAGCCAGCAGCGAGCGGCGAGCCAGCTTGTAACACATACATGTTACATGGGTATATCATGGGTTATTCGTGTGTTCGTGAGTCGTATGGTCTATGGCGTATGTTGCTGGCAGAGGTATGGACTTTCCGTGAGTGCCCTATGAGTATTTTATTGAAACGCTCCAAGTGCCTGTGAGAGAGGGCTGCCTGTTTAGTCACAGTTTAGGCTTGTTTTGAAGGCCTCAACTGATTTACCACAGACGATATTGTCCTCCAGCTGGTTCCAATCCACGATTATTGTACTAGTATTGTACTTACACATGAAAATATGTATGTAAATTGGAAAAATGTCCTAGTTTGTGCGTGGGCCATATGATAAGGCAGCTAAATTCCTATCTTGTTCTGTATAAGTTAACATTGATTTTTATTTATCCTGCCTCATCACAGTGTCACAGATGGACAGTAACAAATACAGCGCAATTTCAGTTGACACACCTTATCATCTCAAAATGAGATGGTCACTGTATCAATCACTGAATGCTATACATATTTATACTACGTATGTCACTACATGTATCCAGGGGTAGAAATTAACTTTTGAACAACCTTGGGAGTCCTGCCCTCAAAAAGAGGGAATTCGCAACAAAATGAGGGAGTCCGCAGTCTGAAGTTCAAAACTAAAGATATTAACTATAACGCGTGTGCTTATTTTGAAGATTCATGTGGTTGCACGTTTGCCAAATTGTCTTTGGACATTTGCTTGGACATGTGTTTTAACAGTAACTTAAAAGTAGTACTGAATAATGGATTTTTTCATAATTTTATTAGTTATGTAAATTACTGCTGACTTATGCATACATGTGAGCATCATTTTGAGATGCAAAAGTTGTGTATAGCCTGTTAATGTACGTATCTGTCATGCATTTCAATTTCAAAGAACTATAGCACCTGAAGTCTAATGGGATATACAACTGCACTACGTATTCAAATGAATTTGTTGTTAGCACAAGTCGCTAAATCACCACCGAATGTCATCTTGATTGCATTTGTGTCAATCCCAAGTGTGTTTGTCTATCTCTGACTTAGAAGCTAACCTCCACAAGGTGACAGGAGAAAATAGCATTGGAATTAACTGTGTACATTCGTAAACTGATTCTATATCAGGGGTAGAAATTAATTTTTTAATAAATTAACGGACTCTCTGCCTTCAAAAAGAGGGAGTCCGTAGTCTGAAGTTCAAAATTAAAGATTTTCTGAAAAAATAGGTAATTCTGCAAGGTCGTGCTCTGTAACAAACTAGTTTTTGTTTGGTTTTGTTTTTATATTTATTTATTTAGGCAATTATCCATCATATACAATACATAGCATACTTTTACAATAAAATTCTGAATTCATAAAATTGGATAACTACCAAGGATATATATATATACACAAAAAGCATGACTAGTACACTTATTTACATTGTGGTCCTTGTTTTGCTAGGCCTTGAATCTAACAGTTACACTACTATCAGCACTAACTATTGAAATATACAAATTTGTAGTTTTAACCGGTCATACAATGGTACATTCTCATAAGACGATACAAACTTTTCTTATGCCTAATTTCAACCGAATTCTTTTAGCGAAAATCATACTCCTCTGCCTCTAATGTTTCTACCTTTTCCATCAGACATTTCTTAACACTATACTTAAAACTAGAATAAACAGAATTTGTTCTGCCAGTTAGTATGGCAGAATTTTCAGGGAGTCACACGGACTCCTGCATAATGTCAAATCAGGGAGTCCGGCAGTAAATCAGGGAGTATTTGACTCCGGACTCGCGTTAATTTCGCACCCTGTTATATATGGTGCTTGTCCACCACATGGAAGTCTGAAGCTAGTCAAGCAATGTCTTATCACGTCAGGTGCACTGCTGTGTAAAGTGTTGTGACTCATTGGCTCGTCGCCAAAATTTACAACAGGTTTTCGAAATAGATCATCTTCATGTGTATCGTTGCTCGATTTCTTCAGAAAATTTCCCACGTCCTTGTCATATGCTCTTGCAAGAGAGGTTGTGGATGAAATTTCCAAGGAAGACATCTCTGCTTATCACGAGGAGTGGACTCCAATCGATGGGGAAGAGGACCGGGAAAGCAGTGAGAATGGATGTATTGGTGAGAATTGTGTCTTATGTACCCTTATGATTTGACTCCCCTTTATTATTAATGCATCTTTTTGTTGTGTTATAGACACAAAGACACGAAATAATGTGTAATAACTGTGGTCTAAGCTTAGCAAATGCATTCTCAGTGACCTCTGTGAATCTGTGGACATTTTTTATTGCTAAGCAGTTTTGTTTTGTAATTGCACATCGTTCATCGTTCGTCAAGCAATAATGACTGATGTTTTATGTTTATTTTATGTAGCTTAAAAATTAGTAGTTCATAGGAATTTGTTGTTTTTCTGTCAGTAAATGATCAACTTATGCAATATGTATGCATAACAAGTCAATAATGCCAATTGTGCACAAAGTCTTATTCAGTGTTCAGGAATATTTACTTAACCAACCATGTCAAATTTCCATAGCATAATTGTTAATTGCTGCTGCTGCCAATGTTAAAAAAAGCTATGTTTGACAATTGCTCATATGATGACTGACCATAAATCACATTTGCATGTATATGTACTCAGAAATGGGTCTATGAAATAACTGGGTAAATGTTCATTTTTGGGTACAGAACACACAAAGGTGCAACCCAACTGAATTGAAGAAAGTGCTAGTGCTAGTGCTAGTGCTAGTGCTAGTTTATGGCATTTGCAATAAATTGGCTGTAGACTGCCTCATATGTAGACTGTTATGTTGGCCTTAAGGTTAGATTACATATATATTATACTGTGCGTGACCTTGAATGTAAGACTCAAGGAGAGCAGAATCAAAGTAACGAATGAGAAATAGACATTCACACAAACTTGTTTGTAATTATAGAGTATATCTGTGTGCTCAATTCTATACGTGAGCTGTGTGCAGTAGTACCATCTAACCTTGACATGTAATGTAAACAGTATACCTTCATCTGTGTAAATCGAGATTGGTTACATTTAATAAAATATCCATGTTTGATCCTTACAGTTATCAAAGCTGAGAAACTGGCAGTGATGGCGTTTCAAAAGCTCGCTCAGGTCTGTGATAGATGGAAAGAACAAGTGCCAACATGTCAACATGAGAAACCGAATATAGATATATTCATGTGTGCAATCAAAAATTCTCGCAGGAAGATGGAGGACAGACACGCAATCCAGCCGGAAATCAACCGTTTGTTTAATCTGAAGGTATCTCGTCTGTTCGCATCTCTACGTCTATCAGTTCTTCTGTCCTTTTTGTCATGATTCAACAACCTCTTCTGTTCCTCTCTCCATATCTCAATCTGCGTTTGTCACTCATTCTCATCTCTTTCTCTCCCTCTCTCCCTCTCCCTCCCTCTCCCTCCCTCTCCCTCTCCCTCTCTCTGTCTCTGTCTCTGTCCCTGTCCCTGTCCCTGTCTTTGTATCTGTCTTTCTGTCCTGTCTCTTGCTTGTAGGCTTCCTCGTCTTTTTATCGCTTTCTGTTGCCATACCGGCTGCTGTTACACTTATAAGGCATTGGTTTACTAAACAAAAAACACATTGATTTTGCTGATATGTGGACTGTCTACAGTACACCATATAGTAGCGTATATATATGGTGTGTTGAAAATCCAATATTTGTTGTAGAATTTAGAGCCATTTCTAAACCAAGCGTGATTAATATAATAATAAATAATAGCCGTCACCAAATGCAATAGCTGCTTCAAGTGGTTGGCTTGTGGGTGGGAGTAGAGTTGGTTGTAAAAAGAGAGTGTCTATGGCTTCCAGGCCCTGCATTGTATAAGAGACAAGTTACTGCAGTAAATAGTAGTTGGCCCTGTGTAGTGTGTACAACAGCAGGTTTGGTTATGTGGCTCGTGAATAGCAGCAGAGTTGGTTGCGGCCATCTTGGAATCACGAATTCACTTTCCACTACTTCTCAGATCTTCGCTAGTGTCAACTTGTTTCGCTGTAAACTCTGTTTTAGCATTTTGCAGTCCATGACAGATTTGCTTTGATCATGAAACTGTTGTATTCAATAACAACATATATATGCGACCTCAGGGAAATCTTGAAAATTTAAGTATGGTTTGTGTTCTCGGGTGTGAACAGCTAAAACCCATGCAGAACGTTACCATGGTAACAAGTACCTCACCTGCTACAGGAGAACATCCAACGTTCTTTCCCTCCAATATGGTCGACGTGATGAAATCACTGTTGCCGTGGGCAGTATACAGATGGGGATAACCCCATATTTTTTCCCTTCCATTCACAGGGTCAACCTGTACAGTCGTTCTTCGCCGTCTTTGATGGTCACAATGGAACGGAGGCGGCCAATTACGTTGCGACGCACCTGCACTGCAACGTCGTCCGCCATCCGGCGTTTAAAGATGACGTCACGACTGCTCTCAGGGAAGGCTTTCGCGCGACAGACGACGCCTTCTGCGCACGCGCACGCATGTGTGTAAGTTCTGCCGTCGGTAACGCTGGTGTTCGAGCATCAGTCGGTTTTTTCTAGGTGAAGTAACTCGCGGTCGGTCTGCGTCTAGAACAGAACAAGGATTTAAAATTTGCCCAAAAGCCGTTTCCGTGGCATAAAGCTGCAGCAGACACTCGTTGCGTCACAAAAGCAAAGACGAATGCTTCTGCCGTGTTAGACAAATGTTGGCTGCGTGGATCCGGCTTGACAGCGCGAGTTTGTTGATGTTTACGCCAGTGTTTCCCCTGGCCCAAAAGGTCTGTGAGGTGGTAAATGTTTTTCGTGATGTGTTTGCGCGTTTCGAGGTCGTAGCAAAGCGAGCAGTGCAGGTGCCGGCCAAGCTAGGGGGTCCGGAAAAGGGTTCGTCAAACAAGGCGGTGTTTTGGACAAATTTCTGTGTGGTGGCCGAGAATTTGAGCGAGGCGGGCCGCCTCGCTCATGTCAATGCCGGGGAAACGCTGGTTTACGCGATGCCCTGGTCGGTTGGTTCACGTCGGCGCTGTCGTCTGCATGCAGGGTGACAAGAGCGGCACGACGGCGGTGGTGACGGTGCTGCAACCTACGAAGCTGCACGTCGCGTGGTGCGGTGACTCCCAGGTGGCGCTGGTGCGGCGCGAGCAGGTCGTCTCCTGCATGAAGCAACACAAGCCGGACGATCCGGTGAGTAGTACTGTATAAGCCGTGTTTTTCGCGTACAGATATTTTCGCGATTTCAGACATGACGGACAATTTCGCGAGTGGTTAATTTCGCGGTCGGTGAATTTCCGAATCAGTGAAGAGCAGCGTGTTGTTATTTTCGCGGTCGGAGACGCGTTCGCGAAATTCGCGAAAATTAAACCACCGCCAAATATACAGTGTATACAGTAACCCAGGTCATTCAAAGCAGGAGACAAGGGTGCACGCGGATCGTGGAGTGCTAGGGGCGTGTGAAGAGCAGGGGCCCAATGGAGGAAGGTTGCTGGGGAAAAATGGAGATAGAGTAAGGTCGTGTTAAAAGTTTGTCAGTTGGATCGCAGCTAAATATTGATGGTGACTCCGCAATGTTTGCAGATGGAGAGAGATAGGATCGAGAAAGAAGGTGGTGCCGTGGTCTGGCTCGGCACATGGAGGGTGAATGGCATGCTTGCTGTCTCCAGAGCAATCGGTAGGTGTTATCCACAGAAGACCTCGATAAGCAAATATAATACATCTATATCAATGTAACACAAGTGCATGGAGAGTCAGTGATTTTATGAGTTTCAATAAGTACTTTCTAACGCAGTGTAGACGGGTGAACGATGTAGTATGTAGGTGCAGCTCTATGCTGATCATGTATCAGTGAGGTAATGTATGCTCATGTGCTGCCACCTGCAGGTGACGTTGGCCAGAAGCCTTACGTGACCGCTGAACCTGGACTGCAGACGATTGAACTGGATGGCACCGAGGACTACATGGTACTGGCCTGTGACGGACTGTGGGACGTGCTAGAAGTTGAGGACCTAGCAAAACTTGTCAGGTAACAGCTCTGCGTGTCCTACCCAACTTGAGGGCCATTGTCAGAAACGTCGAAAAGTTAATTCTAATGTTAATGCCAAGATAGCACTTACGACTAATGTTAATGTTACGAGAATAGAGTTGAGAGATATGCATCGCAGCTATGAGAAAACTTATGATATCAGGAACTTTATAATCGGATGTCACAAGGCTGCTGATTGGATGAGAATCGATCACAAAATTGGAATTCATATACATTTGTTGTACATCACAGTAATTTATGTATATTATGACGGGTATATTCATATAAATAATATTTGATAAAAAACGACGTGGTCATGAATTTATTCTTCACCCCAAGACATAAGAACACTGTGCCACTGTAACACGCGACGCGAGAGTCGTGACTCTTCCAAATATTTAAAACGAGAACAAACGCCATTTGTAAATGTTTGTTTTGGTTTACGATCGGTAGATAAGTAATGTTTCTGACGTGTTTTTCAAGGAAAACACACATTTTACTCACTACAACATACATTAAAATATAAAATATAATATCACTATAACTGCAATTCTTTGTGTAAATGCAGAAAAACTTTTATTAGCTCATCTGACGAAGTCAGATGCAGCTTGTAGAATCGCATGAGCGTCCGTCCGTGATCCGTGTGTCCGTGTGTCTGTGTGTCCGTGTGCCCGTGTGTTCGTCAACAGTTGGGCACAAATCTTAACCGCTGGACGTACGGTCACGATATTCGGGACGTCGGGGGGGGGGGGAAAGACTCGGGATGACCAAATTGGGGGGCCAAGGGTCAAAGGTCAAGATGTGTCAACGGCGGGGGAATATTTCCCCCTTAACTTAAGGTATAGGAGGAAATACGGAATTGCTGCACAAATCTGAACGGCTCGACCTATGCTCTTAATATTCGGTGTATAGTGTGATGGGCAGGAAACCCATCACCAGTGCGAAATCAGGTCACAGGTCAAAGGGCAGTGGGGGAAAGGTCAGATATCAGACATTTTCTGAGGACATGGCTTAAATGGGCAGAGTGAAAAACTTTTTTGTTTCGGCGCTGACCTACCATTTTTATCACTTTATTGAAAGGACCATGAAATGTGCTTTCCACTGACGTGCGAAGCGTAAGTGTCTGATAACTTTTTGACCTTCAAGAGGAGGGTTAAACATGGTTTTATTGACTGTTAACAAAGGACTGAACTGTGTTTGATAGTACTTGTGTGATCGTGGAAGACTTAAATTTCATAGAGAAATTCTGCATGCAAAACTTACTTGAACAACGTTTACGCGCCTTGAATCATATATGAACTTCATTCTCTATATGAGATTCTGTACGTTGGGAATACAATGTCAATAGCACTTACGCAAACGTCTGTTTTTGATTAAGGCCAGCTATAAATGGACCTACCTCGCAGGTGGGTAGCTGATAGTATCACAGCATGGGCTAAACGAAGGTAGCAACTAGTTTGGATTATCTATTCCCTGAACCTAGTCAGTATGCACACCATCTATCGGAACAGAGTGAGAAGAATGTCCCGGCAGGATAGGTCAAATGTACCTCAGATGAGCCCAGTCGTTCTGCGGCTTTTGTCTTAATCTTAAAGTTACGAGAGGGTTTGGGCTCAAGAGGGAATTTGCTGGCATTTTTCGTTCTCGTAACTTTACGGTGTTTCTGTCAACAGTTTACGAGCCGAAGTTAATGGTAAGACTAATGTTAAGGCTAATTTTGTTTCTGACAACGGGCCCTTGGTCGTTCGGTCGTTAAAATGTCCCCCTGAATGCGTGCGATACACCGTAGAGGGTTTAGAGCCAAACGTTCTGTGAGTGTACCCCCGGGTAGTTCAGCGCACAGACTTATGATGCTATAACGGGACTTAATCCTTGCGGTTGATGTTAATGCATATTAAATTGACTACGTCACGAATTTTTCATGGTAAAATTTGTAAAAAAAAAGAGCCATTTTTTTACATTAAAAGTAAGAACTTACGTTACTAAATATATCCTCAAACTCTCACCTGAGAAAAATGTTTTTACGTTGGTTAAATTTGCACAAATCTAGATGATTTGGTAATTTCTGTTGTCTAACACTATTCCCCCAGTACTGTTCAGATACTGGCGTCTCTCTGTTTTTTACCGTCAAATTAGGGCATATAAGGAAGGTATATAAGCATGAAAAGTAAACAGAAACACTAATTGTATTTTCATACATTTTATTTTGTACAAATATACGACTTGATGGTGCTAGAAATTCGTGACGTAATCACTTTAATGTCCGCGCGCTGCGCCAGCTGTGACTTGGGATGTCGGTGCCTGACGTCATGCGGGGATCTAACTAACGCATGGTTTCCTCTTGCACGCTCTCTCCAGGGAATACTTAATCGAAACGAACGGGGACAAGCACTGCATCGCCGAGCGGCTTGTCAAGTACGCGCGCAACCAGGGCTCCAGCGACAACATCACCGTCGTCGTCGTTTTCTTCAACCATCCGTCGTAGAGGCGCCACGCAGCACGCCCCGTCGTACGCTCGCTCTGTTTCACGAGGTTTGCTTGCTGTGGGCGCGTCACTGGAAGGGATTGGCCACGCTTCCATCGATGCTCCCTGTGTGCATCGTTGCTGTGGGGGACCTGGAAGAAAGAAGGCGTTCGAGGAGAGGGAAGGTGATGGAAGGACGGAGAGAGAGAAGCAGAGAGGTGGGGAGGTATGTGGTGAAAGGAGACAGAGAAAGGAAGGAGTGAGGGAGAGATAAAAAACTAATGAGAGGGAGAGATAAAAAACGAATGAGAGGGAGAGGACGATGAAGAGGTAGATGGAAAGGAGAGAGGGAGAATGAATGAGAGAGAGAGGGGGAGGGAGACAGAGAGAGAGAGGGGGGGGGAGTGAGAGAGAGAGAGAAGCGTGGGAGCGAGAAAGAGATGGGATTAGCTCGCACCACAGGCCGAGAACGAGTTCATGTGCCTGAGAGCCGATGAATGAAATTGAGTGAGGAGCTTTGTGGCGACGAGTGGTTCCCCCAAGGGGACAAGCAGTAATTTACGTGCTCAAGTGCGAGTTTCTGCCAGGCCATCAAGTTTGATTAAGGCGACCGTACTGTACCCGGTTCTCTGCTTATTACAAATCTCCCCTTCATCGTTTCTGACCTCGCGAAACCCTGTGGCGGGTTCGTTTGAGTGGGTAGACAGTTTTTCACTGCAGTACCCGAGGCGTGCGTCTGATCGTGTGAGAGTGTGGTGGTGTTTCGCGTTACACGACGTGTGTAAGTAGATTCCCTGCTTCAACGCAGTCCGTGCCCGTAGCTAGGCACACACACACGACTGGAAGCCAATTACAGCAGAAAGCTGACGTCCGATTGGTTCTAGCTACGCGCGTTAGGTAAAACTTAGGTAGCCATGTTGTAGAGTGTAGCGGTGTTGTGGGCATGTCGAATTACCATTTTAGTTCGTGAGTTTAATACCTCGAGAAATCAATCAAAGCCTTTACCTTGAGTCCCTCTCTTCTACTCGTGGTCTGGCGCATTTATGCCTGCCGTGAATCGTCAGAGTGTTGCGCTGTGCTGACGTGGTAGTTAACCGCTGAGTGTTTTTTTCGCCCGGATGGTGGAAGAACTTGTCTTGAATCATGACTGACGAATTCTTTTCTGTCTTTGACGAGTCCTGTGTTGCTTCAGGCTCTCTCTCGACGCTGCACGGTTTAATAATGGCTGCTACTGCTGCTGCTACTGCTGCTGCTGCTGCTGCTGCTGCTGCTGCTGCTGCTGCTGCTGCTGCTGCTGCTACTGCTGCTGCTGCTGCCGAGGTGGCGTGGCCGTGGATGAGAAACAGTAGCAAACGTCTATTTTAGGAAAAAAAGTAGTAGTCCTGCGACAGAAGCGAGTTGCGCCTAACCGTAGCTCGGTGTCGCTTGTGGTATTTAGGGGGTTAGCTTGGCAGTCCTTTCCCTGGCAGGTCACACTGTTCATAGTTCTGTTGTTTACAGCGAGTGCGCCATCCACTGAAATCTCTATACGTACCCACGGAAGTGCCGACCTTTACTCTTCCTCTTGCCAACGTTTGATGAAATGGCGATGGTGATTGTTGTGGTACTGGGGGGGGGGGGGCTAGGCTCACAACAAATGAGTACCCAAGCACAAGATGATGCGTTGCCAGGCACTTTATTAATTGTTGCATATTATCAACAGCCTCAGCACCATATATGTAGAATGATACTGGATATAACCAAAACAAAAAACCCCGAGGTTTTAGCCGTCCCTCGAAAACAGCACTCACAAACCAACTTGCCTGGAGCCTATCACCGCCCCAAAGTAGCGGCTCAACCTACTTGACGGATGCATGCAGTCACCATCAGAAGCAGAATAAATTGCCTTTGTTGGTGAGCATTGCAAACTACAAAACATCAGCGCAATGTCTGAAGTGCCACACAAACATGTCTGTCGTCGACCGTGACATGAAATGCTTTGTCTACCACAACCTAATCTTCTCCTCGTGCCGAAAGTGCAGGGGCGTGTACAGGGGGGGGGGTCCAGGGGGTCCGGACCCCCCCCCCTGCATCTAAGGTGGTCTAATTTCAAAATTTTTCTGGGGGAGAACTTTTTCCCCAGACCCCCCTTTGCGTGCTCGCAAGTTTGGGTTATGGTTAGACCCCCCCCCCCTGGTACCAATCCTGTACACGCCCCTGAAGTGGGCTGCTGACGTCACATAAGCTAATCACACCTCTTGGCGAAGTTTGTAAGTTATCGCGTTGAAAATAAGACAGCGGTAGCGGCAGGCCAAAATTTCATATTTGCATATGCCTCGTTAGCATAAATCCGACGAAAAATTCTGTACTTCCACAACTTCTCCGCTTGAAGTTCTTTTGCCCCGAAAGTATCAGAACTATGCAAATTTGTGACCCACCAAGAAAGTATTTTTGCTCAAAAAATGGATCAATGTGCAGAATCCATATACTCTCAGTTTCCTCGTATATACCAATAAACAAGCACTATCAATGTGTCATACTTGAATCTCTATTTTACATAAACGTTCAGTTGAGCTACACCTTGCTCTAAAAATATATATCAGGAATCCTCCAGAATACCAATTTGTCCAATCTTTCATTATTTACATTTTTTAAAGGGAAAAATCTCACTGCTGGCTTTTAGTTATTTTACACCTAGCCTGCTAACAGGCCAAGTAATGTTAAATCAATCAACTTAATGTTCACCTATGGGGATATTTCTCTCTCTTAGTACTTTTTATCCACTTTATGAAAGATGAAATATAATATAAACAAACTGGACCCACTGGAAACAACGTATACAGCTTCTTCCCCGCTTGTTTCCCGGACATATTATTACCACATTATAACCACATCAGGGGGAGGGGGAATCCAGTGATCGCTGATACCGGTAGCCGCCCAGGGTTGCGATGCATCCCTTTGTTGCTTCTACTGGATCGCCTCGGCACCGCTACTCCTGGATGTACCACTCCTTGACCTGTCCCTGGTCTTCATGAGAAATAATAAACATCCCCCTCATCTTCTTCATCATCATCATCGACGTCTTCCTCATCATCTTGACTAGGTAGAACTCCTTCTAGCCCATCACCTTCTTGACAAGGATCTGCCACCAATCTGCGCCGCTTAACCCACTTGGACGTGCCTCCCAGTGGAGGTTGAATATGGTATAGATAATCTTCACTGTTCCTGGCAAGAATGATGTAAGGCATATGGTCAAACTTGTCCTGTAACTTATGCCTTCCACTTCTAGAACGTCAACCTAACGTTTCTCTTTCGCTTGCTGTCTATGTTCCGCTTTTCTTGCAGCTTCTCTCTGTCGACCCGGAACTATCTGATGTGTCTTCTCCAGCAGCCACCACTGCTCTTGGACATACTCTTCATTCCAACTCGACGGGAGGCTGTTCAAAAGGTGGTCTACTGGCAGTGTGGGTGCCCTGTTCCACCATTTCCTGCAGCATTGCCTTCACCTCCTACATCTGTGATGGGGGTATCTGCCTATATGGGAGCCTGATTGCCGCACCATCTTCACGTTGAACGTGATGGGGAACCACGCTACACTCCCCCACGTCAAATGTTCCTGACGAGAAAACATCTCGATGCTTGCGGAGCAGTTCAGCAATCTTCTCCTTCGCTTCTCCCGAAATTCCATCCAACTTCACCCCTACTGGAAGAATTGGATTATCTTCTCCAGAGCCCGAACTTTCCTGTATTCTTGTTTCTTGTACTCACTGACTACATTGGTATCTTCAAGTATCCCGTCACATAGAGACACCCTGAGCTGGCAAACTCCCTTCTTTCTCTCCACTGGCAATGCTTCAGCAATCTTGGTGTATGGGGCCAAACAGACATCCTCGTCTGATGGATTTGAGACCAACAGTAACAAAGAACCCCCTTCTACACGATGACACCCTTCGACTGGTTTGACTAGAGGTACAGCGTCTTACAATGCAGGCATCTCCCGCACTAGCATTTCACTCCTCGGCAATAGAATGCTTGCTTCCACTTGACATCTGACCCTACGAACTGTGTATGGAGGAAGAACTTCTACTCGTCTTGTCGTTACAGCTGTTGAACACTTCTCTTCACCAGCTAATTGTTGAGGTTCCCCTTGTGAGGTAGAAAGTAAGCCAAGAACCATAGAAAAGCCAACAAGTTTCTGCAGGATATTACATCCAAGAAGCACAGGGTGGTCTGATTATGCACTGCTACACGCCGTGTCTGCTGCTATCAGAAATCATTCCTGCATGCTCTGACCATGTACTTCTATCGGGACCTCAACATATCCCTCAATAGGTATCTCTATCCCCCCGACCCCCACCACGTTAAGGAACACACTGGGCTCTTGTTGTGGTGTGCCAAGCTGCTCCTTCAGCTGACTATGGTATACTGAAGCAGGGATAATGGATGCCTCCGCTCCAGTGTCAAAAATGCATCCAATAACAACATCTCTAATCTTGATGGATCCCTTTGGACTTGGTGTAGTGAACCGATGGACGAACTCCGATGTCATCTTCTGTGTATCTACGGACCCCATCTTTGCACCTGGTTGAATGCTTGCACTGGTTGCTGGGGTGTCTGGCTCTGTAGGGCTCGTTAACTGCTTATTGGGACACTGCTTGCTCATATGACCATGCCTCTTGCATATGAAACACACCATTTCTTCTCTACAGTCACTGCGCAGATGCCCTGTCTTACCACAGTTGAAATAGCGGCGCTTCTTCTCCGGTCGAGAAGGGGGCATATGTTTCCCATTAACCAAGTTCTCAATGCACTTTTGAAGGGATGCCACATCCTCCTTCAGAGTTTTAAGCTCAACTCGCAGGTCATCAGGCTTCGCTGCGTGCACTCCTGGAGCACTAATGGTGGTTTCATTGACTATGACCGGCTTAGTCTCTTGACCCTGGAAAAATTCCAGTACTTCCTCCCTCATCTGAAGGAACGTTTTCCCTTTGGAAGCCAGCTCTATCCTCCTCAACTCCCGTTGAACCCAAGGTTGATTCGTACCCCCAAACAAATCGTTCTTTCAAGGAGGGATCACGCAATTGTTCCAGAGCTTTTCTCTCTCCTGAGGAGGTGGCTGCTTTTTCCATCCTGGTATGAAGTCGCATTAATGCACGGCAGTAGTCTGCTAAGCTTTCTGAGTTCTTCTGTTTCCTATTGTGGAACGCTGCACTGAGTGAAGGTACCGTCTCCCGAACGCTAAACAGCGATTGGAGGACCTCTACTGA